TCGGAAACCCAAGGAGGGGTCACTATGAGTCGGGGCCGACTCGACGGCACACAACAACAATAACAACAGACTCTATGGCAGGAGAACAGTAAGATTAGAATATACAACCTCCACCCTCTGGACCTTAAAGGTGAGTACAGGTTCATATATGTTTAAGGGTATAAATGGTAACATTCTCAGTTAGTAGAAGAAAAATCAGTGGCACTTAATTTTCTAATCATGACTGAATGTTGGAGTTTCTTATTCTTTGTGCTCAACAGCTGCATCCAATGGGCTGTAACATTATTAATGTTTCCAGTGATGAATATGGCATTATTCCAGACTCCCTCAAAGAAGTACTTTCTAAATGGAAGCCAGAAGATTCACAGAACCCGAAGAAAAACACCCCAAAATTTCTTTACACTATCCCAAGTGGCAAAAACCCTACTGGAACCTCACTAACAACTGACCGAAAAAAGGAAATCTATGAGGTATTTTGTAAGAATGTGTTAGGTGACTGTGGTCCTGTTTCCTTTTGCCTTTTTAGAAGAATACTATTCAAGTTCCCTTTCTGTTCAACCTCTTGCTTTTAAGGAAGATAAGTTTTAATAAAAACAAATCATCTATGCCAAGGATCCCAATATATTGAGACACAATAGATGATTATATTCTTTTTTAACTACTTACGAGATTTTCCTCTTTTCCCTTAATTGATGCTTTTATATAAAAGAAATACCATTCTTGGCCTCATAAATCACTTTATGAGGTTATTTAATGTTTAGCCACAACTTTGATTTTTATTATTGTTTATGTGTTTTCAACCTGTCTCTTCTTCCTAGTGCTTGACACTTTAGATTACAAAGAAGATCTTTCAGATAAGAGGAATGCTCCTTTTATGAAATCTCTTTTAGGTACCCAACTATGATGCCCAGTTTCTCACTATTAATACTAAGAAAACTGTATCAAACCCATGTTAAGTTAATACAGAAATCTTTTAAATCTAAAATAAAAGTCATATTCCTTATGTGAAGTCTCTTTATGTACCTGACTATGCTCCCTAGCCCTTCACTACAAATAGTTTTTTAAAATGAGTACCAATCACATGTAAGCTATATGAAATCTAATTGCATGTGGTGGGATCATAAGATTTCAAACAATTCTTTTCACTCATTACATGTATGTGTGTGTGTGGTTATGTACATGTATATGTGTATGTGTGTATATATATATACACACACACATACATGTATTTAAAATATTGTCTTACACTTATTTTACACACTCCAGGGATCTGTCCTAAGTTTTCTATTTATACCCTCCCCATGGACAGCCTCATCTACTTCCATGGTGAAAACTTCCAATCTCTATAGTGATGGTTCCACGTTGCCTAATCTTTACCTTGCCCCTGAATTCCATATTTCCTTATCCAACTTCCTAGTTGATATCCCCAAAAGATAAACAATAAAATCCCAAACTTAACATGGCCAAAATAAAACTCTTGATTTTCCCTAATCCCACCCCATTCATCCAATGTGCACCCATTCTCCATTGCACATTCTTCATCTCCATAAATAGTGCAAAGTGAATAGTTGCCCTTTATTCCTATCTTTCCCTTCTCTCTTCTCCCTCTCACCTCATTCAGTCCATTCTGTGGACTCTGCCACAAATTTATATGTTACTGTCTCTCATCCACAGCCTTCTCTCACTGGACCACTACACTGGCTTCCTCACTGTTCCCAACTCCTACCTTCCACTCCATCTCTCACAATTCACTCTTCACACATGTGCTGAAATTTCTCTGCTGAAATGTAAATGTAAAGCCAGTCTCCTCATTTTCTTGTTTACAGTCCTGCAGTAGCTTCCCTTTGCAGTTACACCAAGATCCAAATTCCTTCATCTGCCTTGCAAAGATCAGTGATTTGGCCTTCTATTCTCTAATGTCACCTCTTATTATCCTTGTTGTAGCCATGCCTACAAGCTCCAGCCATGCTGACCTTCCTTCTATTCCTTAAACATGCCAAAAAAAATTTTCTCACCCTAGGGCCTTTGCTCTTACTCTTTTCTTCAGTCTGGAGCTCTGTTCCCTGGTAATAGCACAACTGGCTCCTTCTTACACTCTGAGCTCCAGAGTTAGCTCATCAGAAAGGGCTTCAGAATTCATTCTGAATTAGTTGGTGTCACTCTGTCTTGCACATCATGCCGTTTTAATTTTCTGCTTAGTCCCCAAAACCCACCATCTGTTTTCTTCTATGTGTTACCCATTGGCTTACATATATCCTATCTCCTATTATAGGAGACACTGATTATAAATTCCATGAGAACATGAGCCTTTAGTGTCCCATTCATCTCTCTATACTCACTTGTCTAGCAAAATGTTGTTATTAGTTACCTCTGGTGGCATAGTGCCTAAGGTATTTGACTGCTAACCAAAAGGCTGGTGATTCAAACCCACTAACCACTCCTGTGAAGGAAGACTGGCCATTCTACTTCCACAGAGATACTGCCTCGGAAACCCAAGGAGGGCTTGCTATGAGTCAAATCGACTCGATGGCAGTGAATTTGGTTTTATTTATGTATGTATTTATTTGGTTTCACATAACAAAATAAAACACTGTCATATTCATGATCATTGGTATGTTTGAATACATTCATGCAGCTACTGTATCAACCCATTTCACCATCTTACTGAGGGTTTCCTTCTTTTTCATTGGCCTTCTATCCAATTTAATAAATACTTTTTGAATGAATGTGTTTAAAAAATTATGATTACAAATGATTCTAATTTTAGATCATTCTTGAAAAATAAATATATTACTGTAATCTTTTTAGCTGGCAAGAAAATATAACTTCATCATAATAGAAGATGATCCATATTATTTCCTCCAGTTCAAGAAGGTAAGTGATGATGTGAACTAATTTCACTTTTAAAAGATAAATGATTGCACTATATTTGATTTTACCTTGCTCACTGAGTCAGAACTAATCCATTCTTAAATTGAGTTTAATTATTACTAATTTGCTGCTGTTAATGTTAGCTGCTGTCAAGTCAGCCCCCAGTTCATGGTGACGCCATAGGTTAGAGTAGAACAGCACCATAGCATTTTCTTACCTGTAATCTTTATGGAAGCAATTTGCCAGGCCTTTCTTCCATGGAGCCACTGAGTAGGTTTGAACTACCAACCTTTGGGTTAGCAGTCAAGCACAAACCACTTGCACCACCCAGGCTTCTTCTGTTAAATTGCTACTGCTTCAGTTTTTAGTCTTTTGATTTTATCAAGGAATTAATGCTTTTCATTTTTGGTATTACTGGTCTTTCCAGAAATTACTTAATTTCAAAATAGTAACTGGCTTTCTGTGTCATGCATTTCAGGGCTAACAGTCTTCTTGAACACCAAATTCTAGTTCATAGTTTCTTAAACATCATAGCAGGGATATCATATGGGTTTCATCTTGGTGGTCACCTTTAGTCTCTTGGTAGTGGCTGACTGAATTGATGTCTGGAGTTGGATTTGGAACTGTCTTCAAGCTGAAGGAGAAAGAAGGCTGCACTTGATGAGCGATGTCCACCAGGGAAATAAAAGAAAGACAGCCTTCCCCAAGTCTGCCATCCTTGTCAGTTACCTCCTGGAATTTATCTGCAGAATAATGGGTTTTCAGATTGTAAAGAGTATGGGGGCAGTATCTTCTGACCTCCTCCACCCTCACAAGGGGGAAGCAGAGTCATCATCAACAGACCAAGGCTTTTTCCTATGAGTCCAGACATACCACCGCCACCTTTTTACCAATTCTCACTCCAACCGTCCCTCCCACGGCACTCACTACTTCTCTACTGGGTTCAGTAATTTGTTGCAATGGCCACACAGTAATCACAGACAATACTTATGATTATGAGATTTATTAGGGAAGTAACAGGCTACAACTCAGGTTCAGGAATACCCTTAAGTTACAATTCTTCAATCAGGCCAGTCTCCCCTCTGCTATGCCTTCAGGCATGCTTCCTGCCCCTTGTTCTCTCAGCCTGGACTATGTCCTGCTTGGTAAGTGTTACAAAGCTCTTTTATCTTTGCTGATAGGTACACCCACGTGCTCCCCACTCTGCCGGCAAGCCTCCTACCAAAGGCACTCAGCATTCTTGTCCGTGGGCCAGCAAGCCTGCCACTCTCTCTCATACCCCTTGGTTCCACTGCCTCTCAGCCAACAGTCTCTGCCAGGTGTCTCTGCCAAGGAGTTCCAGCATAGTGATCTCAGGTCCAAGGATGTTCTCCACTCCACTCTATCTCCAGCTATTCTCTCTTGATGCCAGTGAGATCCCCTCTTCTGCCTCTAGGAGGGCTCATTTTAAGCTCAGCAGCATAGCAAAACTAACTAATCCTCACATTAAAGTTCCACATCCTTTATTTGCATGGGCCCACACACTAATCTGATGAGAGTCAAAAAACCATGGCTACAAAAGCCATACCAAGTAATTCACTGCACCACACAGATTCTTTCCTACATTTCATGATTGTTGTTGTTGGATGCCATCAAGTCATCTCCAACTCACAGCAACCCTATGCACAGCAGATGAAACACCACTCAGTCCCATGCCAGCTCCACGATCCCTGCTATATTTGATCCCATCGCAGCAGCCACTATGTCAATCCATCTCGTTGAGGGCCTTCCCTTCCTTCGTTGACCCTCCATCTTACTAAGCATGACATCCTTCTCCAGGGAATGGTCCCTTCTGACAACATGACCAAAGTAGGTGAGATGACATATGGCCATTCTCACTTCCAAGGAGCAGTCCAGCTGCACTTCCTCCAGGACAGATTAGTTAGTTCTTTTAGCAGTCCATGGTACTTTCAGCATTCTTCTCCAGTACCACATCTCAAAAGCATCAATTCTTCTTCAGTCTTCTTTATTCATTGTCCAGCTCTCACATGCATATGAGGTGATTATCATGGCTTGTGTCAGGCCCACCTTGGTCCTCAAGGAGACATCTTAAGCACTTGAAAGAGGTCCTTTGCAGCCAACTTGCCCAGTGCTATTTGTAGTCTGATGTCCTGACTGCTGCTTTGATTGGCATCGATTTTAGAACCAAGCAATGTGGAGTCTTTGACAACATCAATCTTTTATCCATTCATTGTGATACTGCGTACAGGTCCAGTTGTAAGGATTTTTGTTTTCTTTATATTGAAATGTAATCCATACTGCAGACTGTATTCTTCAATCTTCATCAGTAAATGCTTCAAGCCATCCTCACTTTCAGTAAGCAAAGTTGTATCATCTGCGTATCTCAGGTTGTTAATGATTCTTCCTCCAATCCTGCTGCCACATTCTTCATATAGTCCAGCTTCTCAGATTATTTGTTCAGCATATAGATTGAATAAGTATGGTGAAAGGATACAACCCTGATGCACTCCCTTCTTGATTTTAAACCATGCAGTGTCCCCTTGTTATGTTCGAACAACAGCCTCCTTGTCAACGTACGGGTTCCTCGTGAGTACAATTAAGTGTTATGAAATTCCCATTCTTCTCAATGTTATCCACAGTTTGTTATGATCCACACAATCAAATGCTTTTGCATAGTCATTAAAACACAAGTAAATACTTTTCTGGTGTTCTTTGCTTTGAGCCAAGATCTATCTGACATCAGCAATGATATACCTCATTCCACATCCTCTTCTGGATCCTCTGGAAGTTCTCTGTCAATATACTGCTGCAATAGTTTTTGAATTATGTTCAGTAAGATTTTACTTGCATGAGATATTAATATCATTCAATAATTTCCACATTGTGTGGGATCACCTTTCTTTGGAATGGGTACAAATAAGGATTTCTTCCAGTCAGTTGGCCAGGTAACTGTTTTCCAGATCTCTTGGCATAGCCGAGAGAGTGCCTCCAGTGGGGCATCCATTTGTTGAAACATCTCAATGGGTATTCCATCAATTCCTGGAGCCTTGTTCTTCACCAATTCCTTCAGTGCAGCTTTGACTTCTTCTTTCAGTACTATTGGTTTTTGATCATATGCCACTTCCTGAAATGGATGAACATCAACCAGTTCTTTTTGGTACAGTGACTCTGTGTATTCCTGCCAAATTCTTTCGATGCTTCCTGCATCATTCAATATTTTGCCCGTAGAATCTTTCAGTATTGCAACTTGAGGCTTAAATTTTTTACTCAGTTCTTTCAGCTAGAAAAATGCCAACCGTGTTCTTCCCTTTTGGTCTTGGCATGTTTCATTATAGTAATTGGCTTTGTCTGCTTGACCTGCTCTTTGAAATCTTCTGTTCAGCTCTTTTATCTTGTCATTTCTCCCATTTGCTTTAGCTACTCTCCACTTAAGGGTAAGTTTCAGAGTCTCTTCTGTCATCCATTTTGGTCTTTTCTTCTTTTCTCATCTTTTTAATGACCTCTTGCTTTCTTTGTGGATGATGTTCTTGATGTCATCCCACAATTCTTCTGGTTTTCGGTCATTGGTGTTCAGTGCATCAAATCTGTTCTTTAGATGGTCTCTAAATTCAGGAGGGATATATTCGAGGTCATATTTTGGCTCTCATGGACTTGTTTTAATTGTCTTCAACTTCAAGTTGAATTTGTATATGAGCAGTTGATGGTCTGTTCCACAATCAGCTCCTGGCCTGGTTTTGGCTGAAGAAATTGAGCTTTTCCATCGCCTCTTGCCACAGTTATAGTCAATCTGATTCCTGTGTATTCCATCTGGTGAAATCCACCTGTATAGCCACCATTTGTGTTGTTGAAAAAAGGTATTTACAATGAATAAGTCATGATTACTGTTTCTTAATAGATACTAACCAGACTCCTAATGCCTGATTCCTCAAAAAACCAACACCGTGAGTTCATCATCTTTATTTGCTCTCAGTATTACAGAGACTATATACTTGGATTTTGTCCTCCCTTTAAATTTACTGAAAAGAATCAAGAACTCTTGATTTCTCCAAAGAATTTGCCTGAGTATCACTTCTGCCTACTTACCCTCCCAGCCTCATCACATCTATTACTTTCTTGTTTGCCTCTACTTTGAAAGTAGATATTGGAGTCAGTGTTGCATACTAACTAGATTTCTCATCTTCATTTCCCATCTTCATTTTATCTTTTTTACCTTTCTAGTTGGTTCATCCTTCTTGATTTCTCTAAGGAGCTCTTGTGGCATAATACCTAAGGCACTTAACTGCTAACCAGAAGGTTGGAGGTTCAAACCCACCAGCCACTCCACAGGAGGAAGATGGGACAATCTACTTCTATAAAGATTTACTGCCTCAGAAACCCAGTGAGTGTTACTATGAGTCAGAATCAGCTCAATGGCAGTGAGTTGGTTTGGCTTTTTTGAGTTAGTTCTGACGATCAGCACTCTGTCCCTATAAACTATTGTGAATTCTGCTGCCCTTCTTCATCTTGATCTTGCCCAAATTAGTTTTGATCGTCTCTGTATCTGTTAATCCTGGGTTCTAACCCTTGGGGCAAGAACAGACTATTTCCCTGAATTCATAATAATGGCATTTTGAGCAAATGAGAAAGCCCTGGTGTCTGTGTGTCTGTGTGTATTTGGCAGAAGCAGCCATGAAGACAGGCAGATGCTAATAAAAGTGCATGCATCTCTGTTTCATATTTCCTTTAAAAGGTTGAGATAAAGGTAATGGAAGAGATGATTGTGCTACTGTTATTCTAATCCATGTCCCCTACCCTATCTATGCAAAGTATTTATACAGTTATTATCAGAGTACTCAATCCAACAGTAATTTTTTTCTTTTTCATTTCAAGTCCTGGGCACCAACATTTCTTTCCATGGATGTTGATGGTCGTGTAATCAGAGCTGACTCTTTTTCCAAAGTCCTTTCCTCCGGGTAGGGCCTTGTGTACCTAACTTAAAGCTCTCTAAAAGTGATGAAGAATGTATACCTCAGTATCTTTTAGTCTACACAATTTTTTTCATTTAAGATATTTGTATTCTATTTTCCTTAAAACACCATAAACATAAGATTTTCCTCCCTCTATTCATCTCCAGGAGGCAAAGGTACTCACTTACCATTAATCTAAAAAAGTGGTGGGGCTGGGTTGATATGAAAGAGCAGTTGGGAACATTAGGTCAGAGTTGCATTATATTTT